AACTGTGACAACTACAGGGGAATCACTCTTCTCTCAATACCAGGAAAAGTCTTCAACAGGGTATTGTTAAACAGGATGAAGGACTACGATGGATTGAACTGAAAAATCGTTCATAGAAGACAGTTGACAAGGTCGTTCGAAGTAAAGACCGGTGTCAAGAAAGGTTCTTTACCCTCACCTTTTCTCTTTCTCCTGGTGATTGACTGGATCATGAAGACATCAACATCTGAAGGGGAGCACGGGATACAGTGGACAGCTAGGATGCAGTTGGATGATCTAGACTTCGCAGATAACCTGGCTCTTTTATCGCATACGCAACAACAAATGCAGGAGAAGACAACCAGTGTAGCTGCAGCCTCAGTAGCAATAGGTCTCAATATACACAAAGAGAAAAGCAAGATTCTCCGATACAACACAGCATGCACAAATCCAATCACAATTGACGGAGAAGCTTTGGAAGTTGTAAATATCTTTACATATTTAGGCAGTATCATTTATGAACACGCTGGATCTGATGCAGATGTGAAGGCACGGATTGGCAAAGCAAGAGAAGCATATTTACAACTGAAGAATATCTGGAACTCAAAACAATTGGCAACCAACACCAAGGTCAGAATTTTCAATACAAATGGGAAGACAGTTCTACTGTATGGGGCCGAAACCTGGAGAACTACGAAATCCATCATCCAGATGATAGAAGTTTTTATTAACAGTTGTCTATACAACATAATAATACAGATCCGTTGGCCAGACACTATCAACAACAACCTACTGTTGGAGAGAACAAATCAGATCCCAGTGGAGGAAGAAATCAGGAAGAAGCGCTGGAAGTGGATAAGACACACATTGAGGAAAGCACCGAACTGCGTCACAAGACAAGCCCTCATATGGAATCCTCAAGGTCGGAGGAGGGGAGGAAACGGAGATAGACACGAGAAAAATGAACAAGAACTGGATGGAACTAGAAAAGAGGGCCCAGGACAGAGTGGGTTGGAGAATGCTGGTCTGCGGCCTATGCTCCATCAGGAGTAACAGGCGTAAGTAAGTAGGTAAGTAAGTAACCATTAGAAGTTGGTTCTAGGATGATCATAGAGATTAAAGTAAATTAAGACGATTCATACAGGTGCATAGTCAATGAAATGGGATTATTCAAAGCAATGGGTTACAAAGGTCTGGGGTCATAATTGGTAACGACAAGTGACAGTAAAGCTGTTGCAGCCAAAGACTGTAGTGTCTAAATGGCTATTTGTAAGACTTTTGATCAGTTAGATAAGGAAATGTTTAGGATATTATATCTGACGTTTGTGAGGCTGCATTTAAAACATGGGATTTAAGCAACTAGTCCTTTTTTGAGTTATGAAGTGAATATGCTAGAATAGGTTCAACAGTGGTGGTCCAGAACGGTGAAACGTTTCACAACTCACCTCATGAAGTCAGAATAAAATGCGTCAACTTATTTCCGTTATCTTACCGCAGGCTACGAGACGGTTTAGTGCCGACCTACCTTATGCTGAACGATGTTTATGATGGCAAATGTCTTATTTTTTCCTCCATCTTGTACTGATCATGTAAGAGGACATTCTAAAAATGTTTAAAAAACGAAATTACATCGTTTGTAGTATTATTTCTCTTTCCGAATAGTTCATTATAGGAACCCCCTATCAGAGCACGTAATATCAGCGCCCCCTATTGATACGTTTTGAGCGATATTGGATCTTCACAGAACTACGGATTGAGAGGATTGTAGGGCCAGTGAAATGTCACTGAGCCCTGGAAAAATCATCCTACCATTCTCTGAACTCGAAATCGACGGACACGAAGAATAATTCGGGAAACTTCCCAGCCGGCACGCGTCAACAGCAACAACAACTGTTATACATCACAGATGTGGTAGCGAAAGTTTACTACCTTGTCGATACTGGCGCATACGTTAGTGTTCTTCCAGCGAATTCTAACAACCAGCTACACGAATCGGTTTTAAACCGACAGGCGGCAAACGGAAAGCCATTCGCCATATATGGTAAAAGGTACATTTACCTTGGCATTACTTACTTACGCCTGTTACTCCTGATGGAGCATAGGCCGCAGACCAGCATTCTCCAACCCACTCTGTCCTGGGCCCTCTTTTCTAGTTCCATCCAGTTCTTGTTCATTTTTCTCGTGTCTATCTCCGTTTCCTCCCCTCCTCCGACCTTGAGGATTCCATATGAGGGCTTGTCTTGTGACGCAGTTCGGTGCTTTCCTCAATGTGTGTCTTATCCACTTCCAGCGCTTCTTCCTGATTTCTTCCTCCACTGGGATCTGATTTGTTCTCTCCAACAGTAGGTTGTTGTTGATAGTGTCTGGCCAACGGATCTGTATTATTATGTTGTATAGACAACTGTTAATAAAAACTTCTATCATCTGGATGATGGATTTCGTAGTTCTCCAGGTTTTGGCCCCATACAGTAGAACTGTCTTCCCATTTGTATTGAAAATTCTGACCTTGGTGTTGGTTGCTACCTTAACGTGAGTTTACGCAAATCCATTCGATGGATTTTTGTTGTTGCAGATATTTCTATGCCAATCATTGGTATAAACCTGCTACAACATCACAATCCACTCATCCACACTCGCAAACGGAGGCTAGTAGACGGAAACACTAACTTATCTGTTTGTGTAACTACTTTTCCCGGTTGCAGATTATCTCCTGTCACAGTTAGACACACGATAGCTTCATTCTATCAACCATTACTCGTTAAGTATTCTGGGATACACCAATCACAACCTAAATCGCCATTTTTTAACGATCAATGCTACACATCTCATCACGTTTACAGGACCACCTGTTTTCTCGAAAACGCGCCGACTGGCTCCCGAAAAGCTGAGGTTCACCAAATCGAATTCGACCAAAAGATAGATTTAGGAATCGTTCGGCCGTCAAACAGCCCATGGGCATCTCCCATGCATATGGTCCCTAAAAAGGACAGCAACGACTGGCGTTCGATTGGTGGCTATCAGCGATTGAATACGTAAACCATTCCCAATCGTTATTCGTTGCCCCACATTTATGACTTGACAGCCACCTTGAAAGGTACAATTGTCTTTTCGAAAACTGACTTGGTTGAAGCTTATAACCGAATTCCCATGGCCATTGACGACATTCCAAAAACCGCAATCATAACTCCTTTCGGTCGGTACGAACTTTTACGCAAGCCTTTCGGCCTAAGAAACACTGCCCAAACATTCCGAAGGTTCATAGATGACGTTTTTCGAGGTCTCAACTTCGTAGATGCGCATGTCGATGACTGCTTGAAAGTCCGGACAGAGAATTCCATCTTCAGCATCTGTACCTTCTTTTCGAAGGTATTACTATAAACATTAGAAATGCTAGATCGGAACTGACTCCCTAAATTTCATCGGACACATTATTGATGCTCAAGGCATACGTACTCTGAGAAGCAAAGCGGCGGCCATTCTGGATTACCCAAAACCGACCACAATTAAGCATTTACGCACATTAAACGGCCTTGCAAGTTTCTATAGACGTTTCATACCAAAATGCGCGTTACTTATGAAACCTCTTCCTGGCCAAATTCGTGCAAATGCGAAATGCATCAATTTGGACGATATCGCGAGAGAAGCATTCTCCACAATTGAGCAACGTATTGCAAATGCAGCTATGCTTGCACACCAGGACACCCAAGCACCCATTAGTATTGCAGTGGACTCACTTAAGTCAGCAATTGGAGGTCTTACAACAATGGGTTAACCACACATGGCAACCTCTGGCATTCTTCTCAAGACGGTTGCTAGACACCGAATCGAGGTATAGCACTTTCGGCAGGGAAGTCAGAGCCATGTGTTTCGCTGTACAGCAGTTTCAGTATCCTGTTGAGGGTCAAGAATTCACTCTTTCCACAGATCACGAACCTCTTACTTTCCCTTTAAGCTCAGCTTCAGATAAAAACTCCACCTGAGAGTCTCGACAACTGGACTAAGTTTCTCAATTTACTTGAGACGTCCGACCAAAGTCCTACTAATTTGTCGTTACTCGCTGTTTCCCGGTCACTTTCTCTTCGTTCCCATTTGTCTTACAGTTCGGTAATGCCCGGAGGATTCATATTAGTCGTTTGGAAACCTCCGGCACTCTACTACCCTAAACATGTTTGGTACCGACTCAAGCGGCCATTGAGTCTGGTGGGGGAGTATTGTAAGGCTAGTGAAATGTCACTAAGCCCCAGCCAAATCATCAGGCAGTTGGGTCACTGAATGTCGACCAGATTTCGAGTGGGAACGCCGTGCTCAACTCCTCCTACAAGTTTAGATCAGTCACTTCTCGATATATTGATAGCCTATCAAATACATCTCCGAACCTTTTCGCTCCTGAATTCTGATTCCACTGGGTGGAAAAGTTTTGACTATAGAAGATGTTACCGGTTAAGTTGTTGTCAAACTCCGAATACTTGTGGCATCTTCAGGATTAAGGATGCCACTTATTCTCACTACTCGGAACGCAATTGTCTGTAACACTTTTTTAACTGAGGATATAAAAGCCGGTCAAACCAGAGATTGTGAATGAAACTACTTGAAGAGATATTTGGAAGATGGGAAATGCATCGAGCACTATGTGTTTCAAAACTAGTTATTGAAAGAGATGGTCAGTATGACGTGCTCAAATGTGAGCTGATGTGAATGGTTGACTAAGTGTCTTCACCTAAGATGTGTCCAACAGAATCAATTAGATCAGAATTAATGTTCAAGGCTTATAGCTATTAATTTCTGGGGTTTTATTTACAGCTACTGGATTAATACAGGTCGCTTGATCTCCTATAATTAGGTTATTAATAGTGAAAACTGAAGAACGATTAGCATCAAAAATGCTTGTCCTAAATATCTTCTATTATTAATCTCACTACGTATTTCGCATGAAAGATTGTTACAGGTACTCGAAAACTAGTATTCAGATCTCGTAAATAATTCTCTTATTTTGAGATTTGAATATTTTAAAGCGCGTCAGACAAAAGTTGCGTTTTGCTGCCAGCGCAAATGTTTTGTGTCGGTATTCTGAGGTTTGGTATCCATACATTTGAGTATCGCCGATTTTAATATGATACCCTCAACCTGGGATGAGCTTAGAATACAAGCTCGAATACTGGAGAGCGAGATTGACTCAAAGTTAGCTGCTTTTGGTAAAATTGGAAATCGACCAATGGAACATAAACATATCCCTCGTTTTACCAATTCTGGAATAATCAATAAAAGCAATGCAACCCCAGAAGTACCGTCACATGTAGATTTCGACACAAACTTCAACGTAATGTGCAATGAAATAGAAGAACAACTGCAGAGGTGAGTCGAACTGTCGACTTATCCTCAGTAATAAGTATATTAAATTAACCTTTATAATATCTACATTAGGGGGTCTTTCAAAGGTCCGTGCGAGTCTTTGAGGGTATATAAGTGTGTTTTGTCTCTCAGCATGAAAGGTATGAAATTACCCCAATGGCAATGTCGTGATAAGGAAAATTCGCGACTCGATCGAATAACAAAACTCCTTAAATTATCTCATCTTGATTTTTGGGATTTATGAGTATATCTTATCACAAATCAGTTTTATGTGCAAGTAAGACATCCATACAAAGTCATATGACTTCTATACTGAGCAATAACGTTGAATGTGCTAGTATTAGAACGGAATAAAATGATTTACCATTTTAACCCTACCGTATATGCTATGCGTTCAAAACAAGTACTCACTGATTAGATCTCATGTCTCAATTGTGGTCTATTATATCGTATACAACACTAAATTAATTTGAATCGGTTTTAAACTACTTCAAAATATCAATAAGCAATGGTTATCTTACGGTTAACTGAGGTTCTGAAGTGGTTGCTTACTATGACCCCTAAATCCTCATAATTGTAACATTAGGTAAATACATTTCATTTATAATCTGGTGATGTAAATCTTCACAATAACTTGGATTATGATGATATTATTGGAATTTGCTTTAACGATTATCAACTTATTCACTTGCATCTAATCCTATCTTATTACTATTTTCATTGACTCAGTCCTTCTAATCCCTTTAAAATTCCAACCGGTTTAGTGACATGAAGCAGCATTCGCAGTGTGGGAATCATATCAGGTTGAGCTGGTAGTCTACGGATGGACATCTTCAGGACTACCGAACTTGTCTCGGTCAGTAACAACGTGGAACTTTCTACGTACGTACATCAGTTCGAGTTGCCATATCTCATTAGCATAGAGAGTCAGTTATCGATTAAAATCCCGGAGTGGTAGTAGTGAAAGGGAACATTAGGGTTCGATGATGTTATTTAAGGAGTATAATCCAGTGAAATAAATTTGGAAAGAAAATAAAAGACATGAAGAATTCAGAAGATTAGAGTTTGAGAGGACACAAAGAGTAGATGCACCTGCGCCATTGCAAACGATTTTGAGCCATGTCATTCAAGGTCTCTAACCATCGGTTGCTATCATCTCGCGGTCGCCAACCAAGTAGTCTACACCTACCAACATGGCTCAGTCCACTTGTCAGTGACTTCATGGATTTGTGCCATGTTTTGGACTGGCCACCCCTAGCATTCTTGCAACCTACTCCTACACCAGAAAACATCGCACGTCGGGTCAGTCGGTGGTCGGGCATGCGCAACACATGCCCCAGATATCTCAATCGATTAAGTTTCACTACTTCATCAATTGATTTGCCATCCTTACCTAGTACCCGTTTCATAACAACTGCATTACTTACTCGGTGGTCCCAGGATATACGAGCAATGTTTCGAAGACACCTATGATCAGATACTAGTAACCTACGAATATCCTCTACTCTTGCCGGCCATGTTTCACTGCCATAAAGTAGGACGGAACGAACTGCTGCGCAGTAAACACGTCCTTCGGTTGATAGACGGATATCTCGCCTACGCCACAAATGACGCAAGTTGGCAAAAGCTAGTCGAGCCTTCTGTACCCGTGCTGAGATTTCGTCACACACCAGACCACAAGAGCTGATGAGACTTCCAAGATAAGTGAAGCGGTCGACACACTCAACTACTTCACTCCCTATCACTAGTTCGGGTGTCGACGCAACCCAATCCTGAAGCAACGTCTTGCATTTCGAGGGAGAAAATCGCATGCCTACGTCCAGTAGAACGTGGACAAATACGCGCTCTCACTATAGCATGATCTGAGTCGAAGCATGTGCTCCAGAATGAGCAACAGTCTTCTATCGATCCCCTCCATCGGTGGCTGATAGCTGTTTGATCTATTTGGGTCCAACGTTGGGACGAATTGGGTGGTCGCCATGTCAAAAGATGTTTTTCCTTATGTTTAAAGTTAGTATTTGCAAGAAAGGCGGTTATCTGAGCACAGCTGCAACAGACGGTCGCCATTATCTGTCCTTTTAGCCACGACACCATATGATCCACCCAGGTGTCTTTCCCTTTTGCTTAGTTTACCTACTTGAGCATTAGAGTCACCAGCCACTATTACTACATCTGAACGCCTAGCTTTTCGGAGAAGGTCGGAAAGCATTCTGTAAAACTCATCTTCTACATCATCTGAGCTGCAGTCAGTGGGAGAGTAGGCAGAGACGACGAAGAGGCAACGACGAGTGTCCCTATCTTTCCGAGTCCTTACTGTTCCGTTTAGTCGGACAGCACACAAACGACTGTCTACTGGGATCCAGTCTAAGAGAGTTAGTTCTGCCCTAGGACTCAATACTATACCTACGCCAGCGAGGCCACGGGAAGCAGCATCAGGGCTTCCAGATACACGAAGCGTAAATCGGGTTGTTTCGTTACTTTGATATGGTGAGGTCAAATGAATGACACTACACGGATCCTGTGTGCGTGGAGATAAGAGAGTTATTAGGAGGTGTAGGAAGGATTTGAATGTGACCAACGTGGTCTCGTGTGCTGTTACGGGTATGAGGGCTGTTGTCACTTCCCGGCTGCCCACACCGTGGAAGGGTATTTCTTGAAGAACCTGAAAAAGAAATCGGATTAATGTTGGTCTCAACGACCTGGGAGCGTGACCGCAGAGCCCAAGGGACAACTGCTTGAGGTAGGTCACGCACGGCTTTTTCGTGGGAGGTTTTTAATGTGTTAGCTCCGTTTTTCAAAGGGCCTTACCGCCGGAGACGGAAATCCGTGAGGTAAGGTGAGGTGTGACATTTTTAGGGTCGACCTTTTCTAACCCCTTCCTTCCTTGTGGGAAGGCAGCATCGCTGCAGATGCTGGTCGTCCGAGGAAAACACCTTACTGCTGTTACACCCCTCTACAGTCAGCAGTACGACTTCGCCCTCAGACCTTGAGTTGCTGCTTTTAGTCTTACCGTTCTCCAACGACCTGCCTGGCATGGTAGAACCTGCAAGAACATGTGTTCCAGCCAATATAGCTCGGTTGGGTCATCACGATAGGCAAGCTCGACCACCACGTCAAGTTAGCAGCTACGGTCTGGACCGAACTTGTCTTGTTCGGGATGTTGGATTAGTGAGACAACCTTTTTACGTATACGGAATCCACCATCATTATGCTGACATTGGAGATATTACCTTACCAAAATACCATCGTGAACAACCTTGTTAGCGTCTTCGTTTCCGATTTCTAGTCCATCTTAAAGCAAAAGTGGCAAGATACCATCATATCCCTAGGTTCTTCTTCCAGTGTGGAAATACATACTTATGGAGTTATCCTGGTTATCATGAACTAGTTGCCTCGCAGAATAATCCAGTTTTAGATGCCAGCGCTTCTTATGCAAGTCTAGTCATACATTGACTGGATATCAATTTTTCAAAGGCAGTTAGCAATCGGTGGTTAGTGACTTTGAATGACATGGCTCAAAATCGTTTGTGATGGCGCAAATGCATCCACCCTTTGTGTTCTCTCAAACTCTAATCTTCTGAATTCTTCATGTCCTTTTTTATCTTTCTAAATTTATTCCACTGGATTATACTGCTTAAATAACATCTTCAAACCCTAATGTTTCTGGTTACTGCTTATACTCTTACTATCTCTACCACTATGGGATTTGAATCGACAATTGTATCTCTATTCTAATGTGGTACGTACGTACGAAGTCCTATGTTGTTGACTGACTGACTGAAAGGCGGTTTGCGAAGTGTCTCCCTTTGTCTAGGATGTTTTGTGACCTATTTATCCATGAAATGTAGTTACTGGGTCTACATGAGGTTATCCACAATATGATGGAGTTAGCAACGTTTCGAAAGCTACTTTTAAACTTGAACTATGCCTTTTCTTTGGAAGTTTTGGTATCAAATAACTAGCCAGTTGATAAAACACTATCTAAGAATAGCTTATATTTCTAACAAAATTATCTGGGTGTTCATTTTTAAGTGAAGCTAATGTGAGCCCCCAAATGCCCTGGTACGGCCGAGAGTGGGGAGAGTCCGCTCTCCCTCTCGAAATGCTCTCACATGGCCATGCGTATATAGCCTCTGCCAGGGAAGTCCTACTCACTGCCTTCTCGTGGCGGGGGTGTTGTTTACAAAAATGAGAGGACGAAAAGCGAATGTCTGGCGCTTTAACCGGACCCCAAACCAATGGTGCACATGGGCTCCAGTATCCTGCGGGAACAAATGGCGTATGAACCAATCGTTGGTCACCGGCTACCATGGGACCGCATCTCCTCACGATGCTCCACTGCCTTGTGGATCAGACGTTCAGGTCGAAGGCTCGGGGTGTGGCCCCCTAAGAAAACCACCTGCTTCGGTTTGGGCACCCGGGCAGTATCACAGCCCTCACACAAATCAATTGCGATTCGTGTGGCGCATATGTACTTGGTGCCTCCCTGTACCTATACTTATGTGTTAAAATAAAATAAAATGAAGCTAATGTGATGTATTTCAAACGATCGATTATTATTTGTACACATAGATGTTGGTACAAAGGGGCACCGATTACATATGCGCCACACAAGTCACTTGGTTTGTGTGTGGTCTGTAATGCTGCCCAGACTGAGGCAGGTGGTTTTCTTAGGAGGCCACACCCGGAGCCCTCGACCTAAAGGTCTAATACGCAAGGCAGGAGATGCAGTCACATGGTAGCCGGTGGCCAATAGTTGGTTCATACGCCATTTGTTTCCTCAGGATCCTGGCGCCCATGTACACCATTGGTTTGGAATCCCGCTTTTCCAACTTCTCTAGGTGGACCCTCAGTGTACACCGACCTGGTTAAAGCACCGGAAATTCGCTTTTCGTTCTTTCAATTTTATAAATAACACCACCACGTGAAGGCAGTGAGTAGGACTTCCCTAACAGTGGCTGTATACTCATGGCTATGTGAGAGCATTTCGAGAAGGAGTGTGGACTCTCCCCACCCTTGGTTGTACCAGGGAATTCGGAAGTCTATTACCAGCTGCCTAAACACCGGATTTTCCGCTCATGTACGTTTTCCATTAGGTCGAAACTAGCTTTTAGTCTAATATAGTTTGATATCTCCAGCTTACTAACACTAACTTACCTGTGGAGGTAGTTTTATTGACTATACATTCATTGGTAACCCTACAAAATAAGTAAATTCTCGATAACTAGAAGAGATTTGGCAGTTGTGTACACGTCCACTAATTAAATCTTCTAGACTAGGATTTAAGTAAGTGTGCTAGAAACCAGATCCTTGTTGACTGTATCGAAAGTTCATACTAACCTAAAAATAGATTTTAAATTACACAGGTTCGCATGACATAATCCCAACTGTAGAACTACTGCTCACGAATCCCCTTTTAGCTACCTAAAAAACTCTGTTGTGTGTCTAAATAATCAAAATCCATATTAAAATGTCATCTAGAGTCTCTGAGGCATATCGCTTGGTGAAGAACTGTAATCGAAACTTTTTCCTGGAAAAGATTACTCGGACGGGTGCTACACAGAAAGACGATAGACCTACTAAGTATTCCTTTCCTCATAAATTTTGGTTCTGTTCATATATGGAGGAGTATCACTAATAAGGTTGCTACTAAACGCATGTATGCTTCTAAATATTGATAAACCGATCAGATTTAAAACCTTTCTAGTTTCTAGTGACTTTAATAACCAACGGTCAAAGCATTCTGCGATCGCCCATTAAGTGAATTAAAACTAAGGGAAGATTTATTATTGTACAACTTAAATTTTACTGGATTTTCCTTTTTTGGTACCAAACACACAGCGATCTTAATTAATACGAGTGATTTTCTTAATTCTTTCAGTTTATAAATAAAAACAAATTCCAGTTAGTAGGTTTATGCACAGTCCAGTAATTTTTATTACCAACCAACTTCAGAGGGACTACTGAAACGTGGAAAACAGTTTGTGTCAAGTATTTTTTAGTTTAAGACTCATCCTCAGTAAATAGAACCCAATTACCGTTTTTTCGTTCATATTTCGTCTAAATCTATCTAAACGCTATTACCAGGGATATTATTTTCACAGACACACACTATCTAGCATAGCTTGTAATTTTTACCTCGTTAATCTACAGACTTACTCAAATTAATGAACGGATGGCAACTTTTGTCCCTGAAACAGAAGCTACACCTACCTCTTTTGATAGTACTGCACGAAATCCACTTAATACTACTAATATGGCAGCTGGCAGACTTAGTCAATTGCATACAGCTAAACGACATCGTGAAATCCTTCGTGATTATGCTCAGGAGTTTCGTCAAACTAAAGGCAAACTCATTGCTGCACGTGAACGTGAAAACCTTCTAGGATCCGTAAGTAATTTTTGTTATTTTAAGGGTTTTTCTTGAATATATGCATGGGAAACTACAAGTCATCACTTTATTACTGAGGTCCTTTGAACTTGAAACTTATGCTCTTGAAGGGGCCTAGTGATACACCTCAAAATCACTTGTATTGAAACGTGTTCACTGTTTGTGCTTACTTAAATATTTCACATCTGACTTCTCTGTCAGCTTCTTTTTGTTAATTTCCACTTCTTTATGTTATCATTAAATGTAGCAGTTTAATTTGATAAACGTATCGGTCGAAGCTGTACGTTGTTCGTCTGTCTAGTGTAAATTATTATGAAATCATTTTGCGTTGCTTAACGAATGTCAGATATCATTTGGTAACCTCAGTTACCCTCAAGTATTCGCTGACTGGCAACTTAAATACAAGAGTCCTGAAATGCGGAGCAGACAATGTAGTATTCAAAAACAACCTTGGATATAAACTGAAATCTTCACTTGGTGTTTAAAAAGACACTACGTCTTTTGACGCGTTGCTTATTACGAACGATATTTATTCTGTATATTCCTTAGTATTTCCTCTTTCTATGTGTTTCACGTTACTTTGTTCCTTAAAAATATAGGTTTATCGAGACACAAACTCCACAACTGTAAATCTAAGCGGTGATTTTACTTCAAAACCTCAATCTGATGTAGATTCTTCCGGTAGTAATCAACGCTCCGGTTTACAGTCAAATATATCTAGTTCAACTCGTTTACTTCTAGACGAACAAGAAAAATACCATCGCTCTAATCGTCTGTTGGATGAACACTTAGCTGCAGCATCAACAATACGAGCCGCATTACGTGCCCAACGCTTTGCACTACGCACTGCCTCAACAGGTCTATCGAATTTAAGTTCCCGTTTTCCACAGGTAAAGAAACTGATTAATAAAATTGACTGGAGACACAAACAAGACTCAATTGTTTTGGGGCTAGTGATTGGCTGTTGTGTTGTGTTTCTGCTAATTTACCGCTTCTTTTGAGTTATATACATATATATTACTTATTTTTTTAGAAGGTAGTACTGTGATGTTTTTACTAATATCTTGTAATTTCAAAATGCGAATGAGGTGCGTGTGAGTATGTACATGTATTTCTGCTCTTGTTGATATTATTATTACTAACCCTTTACTTTCCATGTTGCCAATATCTTCCCACTAATAGTATCTGAAGTTTTATTTTTCGAGCTGATGCACAATGTTTAATTTTCACAAATAGAGGGGTCCTACTCAAGAAATGGAACAAACAAACTATATCCCAAGTCTATTGATAAAAATCTAACCAAACATGTTTAGAAATGTTCTAAAATAGTTCCTGTAAATTGGCATGGAGCAAACTCAGGGTATCTTGAGGAGAAATTCTTCATAAATATTATTGAGTTAACATAATAAACATCACATTGGAATTGGTATAAATAGGGGGAATGTTTTATGCACACTTCAACTATAGTCAACGTTATTAACAAAAAAATACATACACCTTCGGGAATTTCTTATTAAGCAACGTATTCTTGCCTTACAACGCCAATTAGATCCAGTATTTTTTTTTAAGAAGTAGGGTATTCCAATAAATAATGAAATCGTTTTGTATTTCCAGTACATAAGTTCTTTCCGTAAATACTAAGAAGAAACATAGAAACATCTCATTTCTGTTTAATGCCCTAACCTTCGAAATATATACGAAGTTGAACTAGTTACCATCGTAATCACGCATTCTCACGGTCACACTTTAAGATATTCATATGCTTTAAAACCAAAAGCTTCGACCAATGTAACTCGCTTCATATGGGAATTTGGACATGATAAAAAACTTTAAAGATTACATTTTGTGATCATTAATCTGTGAAAAATAGAAATTATCTAATAACTATTATTAACAAATGACTTTATTTGGTTAAAGTTTTCTCAACAAACTGAAACTACTAAAAAGAAGATAGTTCTCGTCATTCACTAACACCATCTGAAAGGCAGTGAAAACTGGACAGCTATATAGTTCTAATTTGACCATTCTCGGCTATGTGCACATCCTATCCCTTAAGCTTCAAACGGGATCAAAAACTAACACTTTATAACCTTATAATAAGCTTGATACCCCCAAATGCCCTGGTACGACCGAGGGTGGGGGATTCCGCTCTCGCATGGCCACGCGTATACAGCCACTGCCAGGGAAGTCTTACTGCATTCTCGAGGCGGTAACTACATACAATGTATTTACCGTTTTTTACAAACACCACAACAGTTTTAATGGAATTCCAATCACAAAAGTATATTAAATAATTGGGTAAGATCTTTTTCGAAAGAAATGAACTTTCAATAAATTCGCTTAAATACGCGTATAAATTATTAAATATTAATTTCAATAGTTGAGATCATGAGTCAATTGAGGCTAGACCACCATAGAAAACCTAGAAGCACTGGATGGGTGTTTCGTCATATTGTAGGACTCCTCAGCAGTGCGCATCCACAATCCCGCCCCTTGAGATTCGAATCAAAGATCTACCAGTCTCTCGAGTGAGCACCTAACCACTAGACCATTAAACCGGCATCCAACGGTGTTAATGTCTAACTTCAACCAATTCATGAAATTGAGCGACACATCCACCATTATCAGTGAGTTGCTATTGTAGGATTTAATTTGTCCTACAGATATACTACTAGAACCGTAAACGCGATACTGGCGATCACAGAGTTTATGTGAAAGCTATGGTCAGAACAAGGACAACTTGACTTTAGATTGTTTCGACCAGTATTGCGTGTCTTATCGAAATGAATAAAATTATGAGTCACACTAATAAAATAGGATAATAATGACTTTCAATTGGTAGGTCACATGCACCAGGGATAGTTTACAAACACATCAGACCATATCAACGTGGTGGGCGCTTAAACAACGGTTTGATTAGTTAGTCATGGACATAACTCACAACAGATATCCCCCTTCTAATATTAATCAACATATGCTCACTAGTGACTGGCTTCAAGAGGTATATTCTGGAGTTCTTGTGAAAAGCAGTGACCAGTAGAGTTCAACCGGGTCTGTTGCCAGATAGTAACTCACTGATGATAATGGTGGATGTGTCTCTCGATTTTGTGGATAAGTTGAATTTATACACTAACACCGTTGGATGCCGGCCGGCTCAGTGATGTAGATGTTAAGCGTTCGCGCACGAGACTGATAGGTCCTGGGTCCGAATTCCGTGGGACGGGATCGTGGATGCGCATTGCTGAAGAGTCCCACACTAGAACGAAATGGTCGTCCAGTGCTTTCAGGTTTTCCATGGTGGTCTAGCTTCAATTGACTCATGATCTCAACTATTGAAATTAATACAATATCCACAAAAACCCCTTCTGATATTAAATATTAGTTAAGGCAACAATGGATCAATTTATTTAGTTATTTTATATAATGAATTTGGCACTAGATAATATTTTACAAAGGTTATTTGTAACTTATTTAAGTATAATTTCATATAATTCTTTGTGATTTTAGTTCCTATAATCTCAAACACACTACCAGTACTTTGTTGTATTTTCTTTGTCTAATCAAGTGCTAACCCCTAAAATACATTTTTATTACGATTAGTAAAGGCGTTATTGTTCGTGCAACTACTTCCAAGTATGAGTTCTATTTTGAATTCAAAGTTATCTTCTACTGCTTAAGTATTATCAATATATATATACAATTATGCTAACCTGGCCTATACACTAGGCGGTGTTTCAGTATAATAAGATGTTTGTCCTCAATAATCTGAATAATTAACAACACATATCTTGTAAGTAATGGAGTCTACAATTTTGTCTCTTTTAAGTCAAAATCAATATTCTAACGATGGTAAAATTTAATGTCTTGTTGAATCTCAGCTGCTTATTGAGTTAACAGTTATTTCTGTAAGTTTAAATATCGTTTAACTGAGGTTCTCATAATCACACCGATCGGATTCGTGTAAACACACATTTAAAACAATTTTGTTCACTGTACGAATGAAAAGTTTAGGTATAAATGACCGACTGTCGATTCAAATTGCATTTTATTCATTAAACAATATGATTATACAAACCTAAAGAATGTTATACATAGTTAAGATTAATAAACTTCAGTAGAATTTTTCCAAGATTCTCAATTGAACTGATAGTTTATCTCATATCTCCAAATTACCATACATGAAGTGTCTAGTAGCATAACCCCTGTTCCTTTAGTCGAGTGATCAACAGCATTACCCAAATGAAATAAAGAATATATTGTTTGATACAATACCAAGTTTTGAAAGCTTGATGGAAGAAATAAGATCAAATTATTCAAAAGACAACTTACAGACATTCTAAAAAATTACGAGGTAATTCTGTGATCACATCAAAACGGTTTGATAGACTAAAATCGTCAGACTCTTTATCATTATGACTATATGACCTACTGATACAGAAAGCTTCAATATCAATCCATCACCATACCACTAAATTGCACAATGAATAATACAGGTTCTTAAACAAATAAGGAGATAAATTTACCCGTGACAGATTGGAAATGATTGTTTTATCCTAGGACCTGTATGCCCTAAATTGAAATAACCCCAAAACACAGGCAGGAAATCATTGTATGCTGAATGGTGACTAGCTTCAGTACAGCCTTCTCGGAGTTCTAATTAGGAGCCTAAAATTGTGAAATCACTAAATTCACAAGCTAATTAATTGGTCACAACCAATCGTGAATGTGAATCGCACTACTATGTGTATTGATTGACGTCATAAATATGGACCACCTGATTTCATATGACAGCTTAGTAGTCTGAATGTGTCATACCACAACACCTGATTTTCCTTGTTTTGACTTCAAATGGAATCAATGGTGTACACTGCTGGAAAGTCTTTCAATAAAAATATAGAACTGAGCGATAATTCTCATTTCTGAATAGTTCCAACACTAACCTTGATATCAGTTCGTGAGGAAAATCTGTTCTAATCGCTTATTTCTTTAAGGATGTATTATCCAACACTTCAGTCATTTGTATCATTACGTCATTAAACTACAATGTTCATACAGTCATTTGATGATAGGCCGTGAAATGATAGATATTTGAGCCTCGAGTGGGTGTTTTTGGTAGATTATTATTCCCTGGGTTGGATGATTTAGTTGCAAAACCGTACAGGACAACATCAACAGTGCCTTCCTATTGTAGACAACATATCTATATAGGTTCAGTTTACTAATCAACGAAGAAAAAGTCAAGTATTATGACTTAAAATGCCAACCAATATCACGTGCTGTATTGCCCAATTGGAATTTCGATTAGATCACCAAATCTCTAATAGGGCTGGTGACTTTCTATTTACCGAACAACACAGCGACCGGTGAACAAGAACCCAACTCTTGTCGATTCTCGAGCTTCTTGTAACCTAGTAGTCAGTCAGAAGACCCAAATGTGAAGCAAACTACTTTGCTACTGTAATCAGTTCAGTCGTTATTCAATATGATATGATATACTTGAAACGCCTGACCACATAGTACATCAAATGGTAAGTAATACTTTGAACACAGTCATACCATAGGTAATAGAGTATGGGCAAACAGTACACTATCAATTAACAATAACGAAGAAATAGTAAAACGTATAACAATGGTTAGTAGGTCCACCGAAAGCTTACAATATGGGGAATGCAGTTACCCACTAATTATGCAATAAAAATACAGATAACAATAATCCGAAAACTAGTTCTAAAAGTCACAACTTTTTTATATTTGTCCCGTCATAACATTAGCCAATCACATAGTTAAAACTTAATTACATAAAACGGATTATGAAAACGATCAGTCAGAAGTAAGCTCACTCCTACATGAATTATGCATAAACGATTTAGTCTAGCACGGTAACGGAAAATTAACAGTTAAACTATTCAGCTGAGAGAATAAAACACTACTATGAGATGGACTAGTATTGAATAAAATAATATTATCAAGTATCTCATTTAAGTAATTCAGGAAAAGACATTGGAATTGGATAGGACATACATTACGGAAAACATAAAACTGCATCATGAGGTAAACAATAACTAGGAATCCTGAAAGGAAACAGAAAAGAGAAAGATCAAAGAACACATAGCTTTAAGAATTGGAAACAGATATGAATAGGAACTGGAAAGGATTACTCAGAATAGGGTTGGATG